ATAATGCCAGAGGGCGCCATGTACATGATGATTGGCATAGATGTAGAGCATTTCCCTGGCATCAAGAACGACACACATTTCGTACAGGAATTGGTGAATGAGCAAAGTGTTTTTTGTCTGCCGGGTTCGTGTTTTGATTGTCCAAATTTTGTGCGCATAGTTCTAACTGTACCTGGAGACTTAATGAACGAGGCATGCATGCGAATAGCTGAATTTTGTGAGAGCCACTATAGAAATGATGATAGCATTAATGAAAATGAAATTTTAAAATACAGCTAAAATACTAAAAAAAAAATGTATTATATTTTAAGACTTCCGTCAAAATATTTCGGAAAAATATTCAGATCTTCATACGTCAGCTGGAACGATTTGAAAATATCTTCAAAAATCGATTTGCTTATAAATAAAGTTATTTTTTTCTTAATACATATTTTTCCAAAGAGTGCCGTCAGATGATAGAAATTCGTAAGTTTAAAAGGTCTGTATAAACATATGTATTTAAAAAAAATTCCAACGGAATCAAAAAATGAAATTTTTAGAGGCATTTACAAATCGCTCTAGCTTACGTAAATCTAATTAATTTTCCGAAATATTTTGGCGGAAATTTTATAGATCCGGTGAAAAAACCGCAATATTTTTTGTTTTTTTGTGGGGCACCATAATGTATGTACATATAGTGGCGAAAGTATTTGACCTTTTTCTTTTGTTCGAGCTTTTCAATTAGATTTCTTTGAAAAAATTTTGAATTTGCAAGTTTGTAGTAGCTAAGACTTAAGGCAGATTCATCGTTCCGCCTCTACCATATAAAAATATTGTCGAGCATACTTTGTACACTAAAAAAAAAAAAAGGTTTATTTACGTCAACTAACTGTGCTTCTCTCAACACATGTATGTATGTAGTTACAAAATCTTGTGTTGAAAGAAATATATTTAGCTGACTCTTTTTTTCAGTGTATGGAAAAATATGCGTAACATCGTCAACAAAAAAATTTCCAAATATCAACGATATTTTGTAGAAACGTCAAATTTGCACAGCATCGTAACCAAGGTACATTGAACAGGTAGTATCAGTAGAGAAGCTGATTTGATTTATTTTCAAATTATTTGGTCTCGAAAATGTCAAATATTTTTAATTTTTTCTCACAAAAATTCTGAATTGCTAAAATCCATTTGCATGTGAAACCTTTTTCCATACAAAACAAGCGATTGAATAGCAGCTTTTGGAACGTTCGCCCAACTCAGCAGCACAACCGCTGATTACTGGGCCTTGCAATGCTTCGAGAAGCAAACAAATTAACTAGGAAAGAAAGTTGCATCAATTTTTATTTTTTCCAATTTCAATTTTTAAATTTTTTTTAATTTTTTGTATTTCACATGGCACGCTTTGATTTAGAAGAAAAAATTCAGAACAGTTTTTGACACTTTCGATACCAGAAGCAACAACGAAATACATGCAAATGTTGTTTTTGCTCTACTGATACTACCTGTTTAATGTGCCTTGATCGTAACAAAATTTAATAGACTTCAAAACGTTATTATAATAAAATTTAAAAGGCTTTAAACCGCATACCAAAATTTGTTCTAAAGATTCTGATTAAAAAATGTTAAACTTTGGTGGAATTTTGAAATTCGGACTTACATGGTTTTTGTTAAATAACGAGCCATACTTTCGTAAAAAAGGTAAATATTAAACAAACAAAAGAAAATAGCCAAAACTATCGTATATACATACATACACACATATATGTAGAATGAGTATGTATATAATATCTGATTTGTAAAAATAATCATACATAAAACATATACTCGTAGTACGCACATTCCTACATACTAACGGCGTATTCCGGGAACTTGAAAATTGCAGTGCAAAGAAAGTTTAATTTCATTAATATTTGAAGCAAACTCTATGAAGCACAAAGAATAAGTGCATACGTAGTCAGTAGAATATTTAGATATACATAAAAACATATGTATGTATATATGTATATTAGTAACAATGTTGCTCAATAATTTCTAAATTACCAATTAATGTGCTAGATTGTTGTGATAAATTGTTGTACTTATATAATAAATGTACTGACCTTTTGCTGGGATAAATAAACCTATTATTTTACGTAAAAAAAAAATTATTCAATTAATGGGCGTAAGTGACAAGGTAGGCATAAAGTTTAAATTAATGCAAATTGAGACTTTAAATAAATACCTGAATATTTATGAAGAAACATTTATGTATGCAAATGAAGTGATAATCGAACACTGAAGTAAACAAAATGTAAGGCCTTTAAATGGAAGAATGGCGCGACTATTTACTATGAGCAGCTAGTCTAATGCGAGCACAAACACTGGTTACCATCCAATGCATTTCATCAGATCTCCGCTAGCTAAAGCGATGTCCGGCAAACTGTAATGCGGTCGGTGCCTTTTTTCAGGTTTGTGACTTGAAGAGCAAATGATCTGTGTAGAACGCTAAAAACCCAAAAATGGGAAAAATTGTATGACTATCGTTTGGTCACCCTGGTTTGGTCTGAAAGTTATAAGACTTGAAAAAGGTGCAAGCAACCGTTAAAAAAATTTAATGCCCTGCATAATCTACCATTTCAATTTTGGTTTGCGCAATTCATTTGCATTTCCACTAAGGAATTTCCGTTTCCGTTCTAATTCACAACATCTGCTTTAGCGTTGCCAATCGCTGCTGAGTCAGCTGTTTCTATTGACAGCCATGCCATAACCTCAAATTGGTAGTAAACAAAAACATTGGAAGTTTCAGTAATTAAAATGCGGCATTTTTTCAAAGGATATAATACGACAAAAAGTTTACAAAAATGCCTGCAACAACAATTACGATCAGCGCACAACACACAAAAGGTGCCAAATGAAATGTTTGGTGCACAATATTGCATAAATTTGGTGGAGTGAGTACTATAACTGGTGGAAGCGCTAAGAACGCTGGCTCGTATGTTATATAAATTAAAAATTGTATTTATATAGTCATATTATTGCAGGAAGAACGATTACGAAAACTATTTGTGCACGCTGCTTCTAAATGGCAATCAACGACGTTACGCTTTTGCGCTGCGGGCATTCAATGTGGAGGTGGCCAATTGTGGCGCTAGGGTGAGTAGTGTAATGACGACACTTTCTAAAACACTAAACTTTGTGTGTAATTACAGGTGTCGGAAGAAAACATTATTAAATTGAAATTAAAATTTTGGTATGATTCCATTGATAAATGTTTCTCAAAAGAAGGTTCGTACGTTGCAGATCATCCAGTTTTAAGAGAATTGAAAAATGTTGGTATACGGTAGTTCCAGCATAAAAACCGAACAATGTTCTTATTTCTTGTTCTTATTCGACAGGCAGTGGACTCACATAAACTGAACAAAATCTACTTGAAGCGCTTAGTCACGGCACGTGATCGCCCAAGCAATCAGCCATTCATTACAGTAAAACAATTAGAAGAGTACGCGGAGCAGGTTTTCTCATCACTCTTTCATCTTTTAGTTGAATTAAATGGCGTTAAGGACATTCAAGTCGATCATGCAGTCTCGCATTTGGGCAAAGCACAAGGTATTGCAACACTCTTAAGGGCAATACCTTACAAAGGACGCAGCGAAGCATTGAATATACCGCAGGAAGTGTTAATAAAACATGGCGTTAGCCAGGAACGTATTATGAGAGACAAGGCTGAAGATAAAGGCGTAGAGGAATGTATTTTTGAAGTGGCTACTGTAGCCCATCAACATTTAGAAAAGGTAATTGGCAAGCTTAGTGGGTAGGAGTGTATTATTATTATTATTTTTTTTTTTTGAGGAATATTGCTTTAAAGCTATAGGAAAGTTAGTACAACTTCTTAAATGTATATAGAATTCTGCAATATCATGTCAAAAATGGGAAACATATCATCTGTTCTTAATTCTTTTAGGCTCGCAGCCTTATGGATAAGATACCAAAAGATGTCCGCAAATTTTTCCTACCCTCAGTTGTCGTGGAACGATATTTAGAACGTTTAAGGAAAGCTAATTTTAGGTCGGTACAATTTTGTATTCGGATTTTCACCCAATCACAAATTACATACATTCCCATCAATTATATAATTTTTTTTCTGTTAGATTGACCGATCAAAAATGCTTGCAACGAGATTCGATGCTACCGCTATCACTGTATTGGCATAATTTGCGTAGTCGGTACTGATAAGCTTAGTGTGTTATTGAGGGTCTTCAGCATATTCGACCGGGATGAAGCGCCAATTCTTAGACAAATCACGAAGAGATTCGGTGACTAGCTGACTGATTATTTGTAGAATGCCACTGCAATATGCATAAGAAATCAAGAAAATAAAATTGCTGTTAGCTTCATAGTATGTACAAAGTAATAACATACATACTTGCGGTTGATATCTATGGTTTTTATAAAGGGTAATGGACCGGAATGCAGTCGTATAACGTCGTCATAACTGAGCTCATCATTAATATCTTGGGAAGCCGTTGGCCGCATAAAATTCGATTCAGATAAATACTCCCAGTATAATTTTTCGAAAATAGTTGTATTTGATGTTTTTACCGAAAAATGCTCACATTTTGGTGGTGATGGATCCCAAGTAATGTTTACATTTTCCACAGGTTTAAAATTTACTTTCAGATTTAGATGTAAATATATGTGCTCAATATAGCTGGGCTCTTTCCATTTGGGATCATCGATAGACTCAACTTCTTCCAAGAGCTCCTTTGCAATTTTCGTTGATTTATCGAGAACGCGATGGACTTCCAAAGCTAATGGAATGCGCTTAAAGAATAGAGCGCGTTCAAAAGCACGTACATTTACTACGCATAGTTTGGAATGATGTGGCTTAACACGAAATACTTTCGGCTCAAAAGTTACTTCAAATAAGTCGCTGATAATGTAGCTGATACAGATATAAATTTTTTTTTAAATATTAGGAGTCATTGGGAGTTTAGAATTGTATTAGTTTATTATGACATACTTTTGCCAACGAAACTCAACACATTTTTGGTTGTAGTTATGTATTGCGACCATTAAACTTCTTTGCTCTAAGCGTTGTATATCGAATTCAAGCATATTGGGATAAATAACATAAGGGAAATCTAAACATTGATAATCCCCAATAGGAACCTCCGGTTCATCGTCCATTTTGCTTAGATAACCCATTGCTTTAACAGTGAATTTTGTACGGGTATTTTCATAATTCAAGTTGAACTCGAGCTGAAATTCGCATTACTTTTGTACCAGGTTTTTAGTAAAAAAAAATGAAAAATCTTAACCAAACCTCATTTTCTACATCACTCGGCCTATATTCCACCATTAAAGGCCATACACTCAGTCGGGGTACAGTTAAGTTCGGATTTAATAATTTCAAACCTCGTTCGCGGGTTGAAAATACGAAATTCAAATGTTGTGCCGTTATGTTCCGTACCCATATCGGCTGAACGAAGCGGCGATGTTCCCTTAAATTGGTTGGTATGAGCTCCTTTGTCATAACGCAAGCGTTCGGATCGAAACCGATAACATTGAGTTTAAAATTCACCGTAATAACGCGATCATCAGAGCAGCTGTATTTTAAAAAGTATATGTATCTACATACATATTTTATGAGTGGCCTTTTCATTTCGTCACTTACGTGAATACATATGTGAGCGTATGCTCGCCCAACAGAAAATAATAAAAAACGATCCTCATCGCTACCAAATCGTCTGGCTTCATGTGTATGGCCTCCTGTAGAATGTGTATAAGACGCCTGTGTGGGCAGTGAAATAACTGCCGGAACTGATTGAAACCCACGCGCGTTTCCAGAGGAACACAATTGCATTGTTGAATGCGTTTTAAACGGATATCGATATTTTTGTCGGACAAATTTCGTATCCAGAGTACAATTTTCAACGGGCGACTATTGATTTGGCGCATTGGCATTACAATGTCATGATGGAAATTACTGCTATCATTATGAATTTCCATGTTGAGTCTGTGGAAAGTGGAATAATAAAAGTAAAATATTTGCTTATATCCATATATGTATGTAATATTTACTTATCTATGTCGAAATATTCCCAATAATAGACTTTCAGTACTGGTGGTGATGTAACGGTCATATTCTCAATTTTAAATAATTGATATTTCCGCTTAGCGCTTTCCTTTTGTAGGCGAGCCCTTTCTAGCACAGCTTCACACATGTTCGGAAGAATTTCAGAGCTCATAAAGGTGATGAAGTTTTATTTTTACAAAAGCCTTGTGGCAAATGTGAAAAAAAGTAATAAAATGAAATGAAGTTTCGGAAAATGTCAAGAACACCAAATGTTTTGCTTCCTCCCGTACAGTGTGCTAATAGTTTTTTTTGATATACGGAATGAGCTGGAGGCATTGAATAGTAAAGGAATAGAAAAAAACGGCTATTTTGCACTGATGGCGCATAAAGGAAGGTATGTATGTATGTACATATATTTAAAATTATTTAAGGTATTCCAATGCTAGTTGAGTTTTAATGTCCAACGCTGGGATAAACGGGCAAAAATTCGTGTAAACAAAAACATTGGGCGCTGAAAGTTTTGTTGAGTGTTTAGCCAAGCTTCTCCAATTTATGACTCGTGTCTCAATGTTATTACAAAAATGGAGGGACTTGCAATTTATGCCAACTCCAATTGGTAAATGGCTTTTATGAGAATACTCTTATTAACAGAAAAACACTCCGCGGCTTTCCATTACCTGCTGAGGGACGCCCGATATTCGAAAAATATTCTTTTGGGGATGTTGCTCGGATGAGGAAACGAACCTCGGTCCTATCGGGTGTAAGAACGCACTTCTAACCAATCGGATATGGCGGATGCCATGTTTGTAGTTAAACGAAATAAATTATAGCATATTCGTAAATAAAGGATTCAGTAAAAAATCAAATCAGGATTTTATTCTAAACTTCTGTTCCTTTTTATTTTCAACTTCGGAAATGAAAATTACGCCATATTACTTATGTAGGATATACGGATAATCCCATGGGATAAGCCGTTATATTCGCACGTAATTAAGCGGCCTACACACAGTGATTTATCGAGTTGAGTTGAGTTGAGTCAAATAAAAGCGTTGTAAAATAGGAACCTCAGTGTTGACCAGACAGCAATGTGATTACTTTTCTTTATTTTTAACCCGAATAACCAAAAATTCACTTGGTACCACACACCAATATGCATACTTCGCTGTCTCGGTATTACACATTCTACTCTTTCTAATTCATATACTATTGATCTCTTTTCAGCCGTTCTATTTGCTTCGTAAAAAAACTCAATTCGACTCTTTCTAATCTTTATGCTTGTCATAGAGATGTAAGTTAAAAAAATATATCAATGAATTTCGATATAATATATAAAAACATCGATGATTTCGATGTTTTATTTACTCTCGAGTAAGAAAATATTTGATAGTTTTTTAATAACAGATTCCAAAATAACATATATAATCTGCCGGTCAATTCTAATTTAATGGTGAAGCGAAAACAAGATTCAAGGCTTCAAATAAAATATCGATAATAAAGCACAATTTGTCAAAGAAAACTTCAATTATATTTATATTTCTCTTTATCTTTTTTTATATATTTAGAATTGGCATTCTGAAGCACAGAAATTAATATCAGTGGTACAAATACAAAATGGGATGCAAAAAATGAGATGGAAAAAATACATCAATTCGATATATATCGGAAGCATCCGATGGATCGGTTTTATTCGATGATTTTGATGCATTGATGATTTTTTTAAATCTCTAGTTTGTTGGTCATTGATTGACAGAATCTGTTGGAAATTAGTGTTGTGTATTTTCTATTCCATCGTTGTGCGGTTAAAGTGTGTGAGAAATTGCAGATAAATAATTAAAAAATCTACCTATTTACCAAAACAGTTTCATTGGCTTTTATATTAAATTGTACACATTTCGCATCCTGCGGCAGAGGAAAAATCGTAAATACAAGAAAAAAGGAGTGTCCCCGTGCTATCAAAAAAAAAAAAGAAAAAACAAAAAACGCTATGTCGTTAATTTTTAATGTAGTAAAAGTGTAAATAACTAATAACTAAATTTGTGGAAAAGAAAAAAGCAAACGCGCGAACAAGTGCAAAGATAAGCAAGAAATTTGTGCAAACGGAAAAAAGTAAAGCAAACGCCGCGAAAGCGACAAAAAAACAAGTAGCACAAAAAAGTAGAGCGAAAGCAGCAATTCATTAAATATTTGAAGTCTTTTAATTGTGCAAAAAGCAAAAAAGTGCAAAGTTTCGCTAGGCAATTACTCATTGGGTGCAGTAAAGGATAACTGGAAGGTAATATATATGAATTGATCTGCTTAAAATGTAAGGGACTTTTCAGGCTGATAAGATTGCTAGAGGCATTGGAATTAGTTTTATATTAACATACATGTTTTAATTAATTTCAGTCTGCTATTATTTTATGCAAAACACCTTTAGAATTTCTTTGTGCGTGCAGTATTTAACTAAATTCGGCTGTACGTATAGCTTAGCTGATAGCGTGCTGATAGCTTGTCAATGGCGATTTGTCTTGTGAGCAACAAACGACCAACGCCTTTTCTGCCTATACAAATTGGGAGTGCTTATCACGAATAAATGAAAAAATATCTGCATTTAGGTACGAAAATATACTAGTTCTCAAAAAAAAGCGGACGCTTTAAATGAAATTGAGGAGGATAAGTAAGTGTCGAGGCCTCCAAATACCAGCCAACTTGACTGTAACGTGTTGCTACAAAAACAATACCAATTTGAATTAGGAATCACTGCAGGCGACAGGCTATCAATGGTGATGATGACAAAGATTTCATATATACATAAATGCTATTGAAAGTAGGAATTTAAGTACCTACTAAAGGTCTCAAGTTTGGGTCATCTCTAATTAACTTAACTCGCAATCGTCTGGTTGTTGCAGAGGCTACAACACCCCCGCCGAGATGGGCTAGTTATTCAGTCGTTGTCGTCAAGCTCAACTAACGGTAGACCCAAGAAGCGTGCAGCCTGTTGGTTGTTTTCTAATTCAGAGTTTATTGGGTTGGTAAAAATTAT